AAAGCTCCTCATGACAATTGAATGTCAGCTGCTTAGAAGGTGTGGAAAAATTGCCAGCCTGATTCTTGCAAATATACATAAGCTTATATCTATAAAAAGCCTTAGACGGTCCAAACATTTGAAAATGGTCGTTATTGTGTCCGTGGAGTGTTAGAACTTAATAATTCTACAAAGTGCCAAAAATCACAACAGTGCCATTGAGTTTTGTTTTGTCTGTTAAGAGACATATTGACAATGAGCTTGTCAAACTTGGAATATAAAACGCGTTTTATTTGTTAAAAACAACTCTACGATTTTTCTTTTTACGAAATTCAAATGATTTAGAAGCGATGTTTCAAATAATTGAAGAACAAAGGGCTTAAATGGAGTCTGAGATTAAGAGAAAAAGAATAAACAGCTTTAGGTAACAGGTAGGCCCGGAGTAACGTTTTCAGCTGAATTCTCTTCAACTAAGGAAATAAGTTTTATCTTGTAAGAAATTGGTAATTAGTCAGTTACAGTGCTTTTTGTGTCAGCAGTCTCATGGTTCACCAAGCGAGGGTAAATTTACGAGTGGGAATCCAAAAGTTTGTAATTACGTCATGTTGGGATTATTTTAACAACTATATCTCTCCTCTTAGGGTATCGGCTTTGATATACGATATTCTCATTTAGGATACTTTTTCATGGTAATTAAAGATATGTTCAATAGAATAACATTTGGAAATTTAACTTTAGTATAGCGCATGAAAACACGTTTAAAATCTGTGATTTACCCACGAGCAAATAAATACGAGAGGGCCATGCTACAGTGACCCGGTCCGTTATTACAACATATCTAGAATTGCATCCTAGGGATTCAAACTCCTCTCAAGAAAGGAGATGATACCCAGATTATAACGATTATCAGTCTACTTACCAAGTGCGAGGCAAAGAAGCAAACAGGCGAACATCAGACGGCTCATATCAGCCTCCGTGAAACCTGAGACGCACAAAAACAAGCACTAGTCAGACGGGTGAATAGCCGTGACCTTCAGAGCGTGCAAGCGGAGCAGGGCAGGGCAGGTATCACAGCAGGTCCAATGTCACCCTGCAAGTCAGCCGAGCGATCAATACTCTCAAAGCAAATTCTTGTCACGTGAAATAAGCGACACTTTGACGGCCCGAAGGAAAGACCATCGGTGGTCAGGCTGAAATGTGCGAAAGAAAAACTTCGGTCATTTTTTGATCTGTGTTTTTCTCAATTTTTTTACATTAAATTAGGAATGCATCTCTCAAAGGAAAGTATATTTTTAGTGACCTGAAGATTTAACAACCACCACGAGTATTTTACAAGCGAGTAACCAAGAAGTTCAAGATAATCCTTTGAGATTGTAAGTAAGTTGTAACATAATTTTAGCTTGAGCCCACGAGTTGGGGCGTTTCAATGTTGCACTCTGATGTATTTCAGGACACGATTTAAGTGGGTTAAGAAATCTTCAGATATTGATAATAAGCGAGTGGAATAATAAAACGCTGTACGTTTTCACCAGTCAGACTAAGGTCAAACCTGCCATTATCATTCTCATTCTGTGATTGAAATTTGTCAATGAAACCTGAAAATCAGTGCTAACAGTAAAAAGCCATATTTCTTGTCGTTTACCTACCTTTCTAGCTTTTTCTACCCACTTCTGTTAAGAGACGTTGTTCACTGGTGCTATAATCGTATGTTATGAGCAAGTACAGTTTTTGTTAATGAGTTCTTTTCTCGCGTGGTTTCACTTGAGTGATCCTCAAGCAAGATAAACTAAGCAGAATCTGTTCTGAACGCACCGGCGAATCCCACTTTATAAACTTTCACTTGGGGTTTTATATGCTTTGTAATCTGTGCGAATTTTTCCCCCAGATTGCAGAGATTTTACAGCAGCTATTTCCTTTTATCAATACAATAGGCATACTCGATGTATTCAAATTAAAGAAATCACCGATTCATTTTCCTTCCAAACCAATATAGTTCCTCTTGTTTCAGTTCCCTGAACCTCTAAGTTAGAGTTTGATTGTACCGTAACAAGTCAATTTGGCTCGTAGTAGTTTGTGTTAGGTCCTTTGCATAAGCCGGTCACATGGTACTTGCGACGCTGGACGACAAGCCAAGCACTGGAACATCCAAAATAAAGAAAAGCCACGCTTGAATGGCTGAAGCCGCTTGTTTTGGAGGCTGTCGCATTTTTTTCGAATTCTGTGACGGGTAGAATAGGCGGAGGATTGGGCACTACCAATAGGTTTCAACAGGCGCGTGACAGGAGTATATAAAATAACAGATAACAAGAGACGCCACTAAACACGATTGCTGGAATGATAGAATGTTCAGTTTTCGGCCACTTGAACAAGTTTGTCACCAGTGAATGGCTCATTTGTGAAGAACCTTTCAAATGGAAAAGAGTTTTCCATACATACTCATTGTATGTACTGAATCAAACTCAGAGTTTTCCTTCCACTAATTTTGGAGCCCCGGCAAAAGATAACGGAAATACTTATTCAAGCTACTGTTATGAGCGGCTGTCAGATGTTGTGCATGTGAAATCAATGTTACAATGTGAAATCTCTCCGTTGACCTGAGGAAAATTAAACGCCTTTAGCAGCCGACAACAGTTCGCCTTGTGGTTACAGGCCTCTTACTCACATTTTAACATTTCTGGGCTTGCCTTACTCAAAGGGATTCATGCTGACGTCATTGTTTACATTTTTGCTCATTTGCATGCGGCTTTGAGTACAGAAGGAAACAGGTTAGATATGAATTGACTCCAGGCAGCTAAAGAGCTAGTAAAACTTAATAAATGGTGAAATTTGTCTTTCAAAAGCTTCAAAATTTCTGGGTGACAAAAGTGCTAATGAGCTCATACTTTCTTTGTAAAATTTTGAGTTTTTAAACCCGTGTTGCACAAAAGGTATTCAATACATCAGGCTCATATTCATTGGCGGAGTTAATCGTAGTATGACCTTTCAATATTCAGATCTGATTTATTTGTTGCTCCAGCAGAAACTGAATTGCTTATGCTAATGTGGTAAATATTGTAAACAAGGATTCCTCTATATGGCGCAAAAACGTTCCGGCCTTGTTGATTCTCCTGTAGCACTCCTGTAAACTGTTTCGACACCATATGGACAAGGAAAATTAAGTACAAACACGTGATAACTCCTTGAAACCTACAAGTGATTTTAACCTGCATTATCAATTAGCATCAACAACAACAGCATGCGGTCAAACTGTATTAATATGTGCTCCTATTCTATATATGATGCCTAGTGCAGTGTGCTGGCTACCCTGTAAAAGAGTTAAGCTTCTCTTAACATTGGTAATAAAGACATTTTGAGGTGGTTCGTGTTATAAACTTTAATAATCCTCACTTATTATAATCGTCCGTGTTTAGACCAGTGAATACAAACTCACCTTGTTATGTCAAGTTTCACAGATGGAAGATTGACGTAACTGAGGAGGAGGACTCAGGGAAAAATTAGTGATTTGTTTCGGATAGGATCGAAGCCTCTTCGTCCGTCGAAAAAAAACTTTTTTCCTTTGCTTTTTACCTCAAGTGATATTATTTCTTGGAGTGTAAAGCTTGGTCATGTGGAAAGCCTTGATTAATCTCCGCCAACAAAATAACTCCTACTGATGCTTTGAAAATCAACAATATATTTTTATGGCTGTTGATTTTATCAGCATTGCTATGTTTCTCCAATATTTAAAGCCTTTTTGTATCCATTTGTTATTGGCAGCTTAGACAACCTGTTAAACAACCAGCCAACCTACCTGTAACTTCCACTGATGAAAACTAACCACCACCTCGAGTGAACCTCAAATACATCAGAAATCATGCACTTGCAGTGGGAATATTAGAATGCAATCGCCTGTAAATGACTTATCCGTCGATTAAAAAGGTGGCTTTTGAAGTGACCGGGTGATTTATTTAGACCTAGCAATTGATCATGGCAAATTGAATCTCATGATCTCACAAAAAAAACTCTTGAAAATTCACAATTTGATGAGATCATCCTCCGCTTAGTAACAGATTTAACTGACTAATTTACAACAGATCTCCATTATTCTCAGACCAACCTTGTGATTAGCTTCAGTATAAACTCAGAAGAGGTTCAAGACAGAGTTAAAAGGAAGAGACAACTTCACACTTGCTATGCCGCTTTACTGTTGTGTTTTAAAACTAACAATAATTGACATAATTCAGTATATTGGTCCTTGGAATTAACAGTTGTTTTTTTTTACAACAATTATAGCAGTTATCGTGGGCGCATTCCCTAAGAAAATTACATAAAAGAGCGCATCATGTATAACAACTTAAAATTATTTGCGCATATAAATCACTCCTTTTTTTGCGAGGAGCATCAGGATATAAGGCTGCAGTTTAGCTCGACAGTTTGAATTTCATCTGCAAAAGGAAACTATTGCTTTTAAACAATCATAGTATCTTGTATATAATAGAAAAATTACTCAAAGGTAAGTAAGTAAAGGAGAATTTCTAATCGAAAACCCATGTCATAGGGTATTTTTCACACGAAATAATAGCGTGCAAAGCTTGGGTAGTTGCCTGTCAGGAGAATGGGTTGGATGATATTTAATGCTGCTGGCTGGAGATTGTCAAAACTGATGAAAGGTTCGATGGTACACTGTGGGCAGTGAGCCCATAGGGGACGGGGAAATCAATGTGAAATGTCACTCTGCAACAACCCTGTTCCCAATTCTTTTCCCTTAGAGATTGGGAGGGGCAAAGCTCTGGGAACGGGGCTGGGGGAAGGGGGTCGTGAGCAGCACATCAGTGTTGAGACCAGTTGGGACTGCAGTGCTAAATTTTGACAATAGTAATTAAAAATGAACTCAGCAATAAGTATCCTAAACCTTCTCAATCTTTGGCCATTTCAATTCGAAAAGGAATATTCAAGGAAACTGCGGTGACAAACATGACACATGGACTAGCGTAGTCCATGCATATGAGTCAGATTTGTTACTGCAGTTTTTTTATATATCCTAAACGTTCTTTGATGGGGAGAGGAGATGGACTACAACAGTGTTCCTAAATTCAAGCATAATAGTAGAGTGAGGTGGGGGTTCCACAGTACACTGGTATTTAACTGTCCAGTTTCTCCGAGAGAAAGTGGCGCCTCTACTCGTCCCTACCCCCCCTCCCCCCCGTGATTGGCTTCTGACTTTCCGTGTTACTCTTCCTGCAATTTTAGGAGTTGCTCTGGCTGACACCAACATTACAAGGCGACATTGATTACGAGGCTCAGTCGGACATGCCCTTATCAAGAAGGGGGTAGGGGTGGTTTTTAAAAGAGATTATGAGGTTTTGATGGACGGCAACGACAAAGTTGTGAAAAATAGACTAGAGTAGTCGGTTTTTGTTCTTGAGATTGGAAGAGCTCAATTTATGCAAATTAGGGAAAGAAACGAGATCTTTCTTCTATTCATTAGCATTCGTGTATTCTTTGCGCTGCACGCTAGGAAAAAAAGTGAGACTAATCGAAATCTATGTCAAAAAAAAGTCGCGCGGTTTTGTTCAGTTGCGTCACAGGAAATACGATAAGCAACTGGGTATTTCATTTTGTAGCGGGACAATTTCTAGCGGGACTGATAGCGCAAAAGAGCTGCATGAGTAAATTCCGACTCAGGGTTGCGGCAACATGATCAGCAGCAAAAAAACACTGATAAAAACAGTAACAAGGCGGAAGGAAATTAAAGTGAAGGCTTTTCGCTCCTTGTCTCCCATTGCCTTTCGAGTCTGTGTAAAGGAAAAGGTGCTACAAATATTCCTCCGGACTTTCTTAAATGTCTGAAATGAAGGCGCGAATGAGTATTTCCGCCAATCAAAGCGAAACAAGTCAGATTTGTTGATTGATGCTTCAACCAATCAGAAACACTTGAGAGCGGAAGTGCAAGTAAAGCCAAATACACCCAAACGAGGTTGGTTTTATGACGTCACGTCTCCTTCCATCTAATTACGTCATGTGACAAAAATATGCATTGAAGAGACGCGAGGGAAAAGAACTATTTTACGGGAAATTTCACCTTTTTTGGGAGGGAAATTTCCATTTTCTTTTACATTAAACAATTTAGAAAAGTTTCAAGTAAACCCTTGAATGGGTTCTTAAATTTTGGTAGTTTTGAGGCTTCTGGGGCTCCTTAAAGCGTCGGTTTTCGAAGGCTTTATGAAGAAGGAAGGATTCAAAATGGAGGAGAGCGATGATAAACCGTTCCAGTGTACGGCACCTGGATGTGGACAGGTAAGGCTATCTGCCAGTTGTTCCTGTGTGTAGCTCTTCCTGGGGGAGTTTGGAAGCGACTGGTTTAATTTCACAGTGATGTCGTCACCTGTGATTCTTTCGCAGCCTTACGTAAGCCTACATTTAGCCAGCTTTTCACCTTCTCTCTCCACAGAGATTCGCCAACAACGATCACCTGGAAAGACACAAACAAAAGCACCAGCTTACTCTTAAATTCGGCTCGCTAAAAGGATCAGATATAACTGTTGCAGGTAACATTTTTTAGTTTACAGACTGCGCGAAGGTCACTGAGGATCACTTTTGATCAAATTCGACGCGTTCGAGTCGCTGTGATAAAAGAATTTAACTTCATTCTAGTTATTCTACGTGACAGTATGCATTTCCCGCCATATTCTAGTTCCTAATCGCCAAATAACTTCCCTGCTGTTGGAAATTTTTTTGGGATAAACTTGATCAACTCTTCTTTAGATAATCCCAAACAATTTTTGACGTGGTACATGTCATGGAGATTCTCACGGACGGTAGTGCGGTCTTGATGTAATAAATGTAGCAAGCACCTTGTTTTATTAATGAAGCACATGTGAGTATGCTTCTCAAGCTTTCCTCTCGAAGTATGTTGTGTTGCTGAGTGGTTCGTGAATGAGAAAACGGTTCAGTACGCTTTTGGTAACCACAGTAACACTAGGGAAAACTATATCTTGCAGTTGCTCATACAAGGATAAAGTGCACGAAATATTATATTTATTTGTAAACTATGTACAGTTAATGGTAGTATCAATCAAATAGAGACACCAGCAACTCCTTCCCACCCTTGGCGCACCCCACACATTTGACAAGTCATTGTTCCCAAGGGTGTGGGAATTTGACATCAGTGGATGTTATTGGGTTGGGTTGACACTCTATGGCAGGGGCAAGGGTCGTTTTGGCAGCTCTGGAAATTTGTAAGGGAGTTGACGAATGAAGGTCATTACGAGGAAGATACATGCATATTCACCTAAGTCTCTCTAGTGAAGCTGGCATCAAAATGTGGTAAGAACAAAAAAAAGTTGCACACCAGGTGATAGCCGAGTGTGTCACCGATGCTCTTACCACATTTTGACTTCTTCTGTGATCAATTACTGAACAGACACATGACAATGTGGAATTGACTTTTTACACAAAAAAGAGGCAAAAAATGTTTTAATGATGTCATCTACTGTCCTCTAATTGATCATAAGAAAGAATAAATCAAAATGCAAGAATAATCAGGCCTGTTATATACATGTAATGTAGCAATAAAATTTATTGATGCTTTTAAAGATACCAGTCTGTTTTATACTTTGGGAAAAGTAGTCTGGATGGAAAAAGTACTTTCTGTACGCAACAGTTTTAAACCCTGTTAATAGCAAATACAGTACTCTGAAGTGTTCCGCCACAGGCAAATGGTTTCAGCTATGCAGAACAACAACAACAACAACAGCAACAACAACAACAACAACAACAACAACAACCATTTTATTTTGCATAATACATAGAATATCATAAAGCAAAAGAATACATTAAACTTAAATACCGTATTTTCCCGTGTATAAGTCGACCTTTCAAGACCTAAAAATCGGTCCAAAAATTCGCCCTCGACTTATACATGGGTCAAAACTTGAGATCCAAGCGCCAGTCAAATAATTAGCATAATAATTGTCTTTCAATGTTAACAAACATGTGATAAGCGGCAGCACAGTTTACAATGTACGTTCGCTTAGCGATCTGTCTCTCCATATCAGAGCTTCAAGTTAAAATACATCAACATTTATTCGTTAAATTTTAACCTGGATCTTGTAGACACTCACTGGCTCAATTTTGTCATAAAGAACCAATATTTTTCCTTTAAATAAAGCTG